CCCACCCCAGGAGGAAGAGGGAGGCAGAAGGCAGAATCCCACCTGCTGTGTGAGCCTGGGCTTATCACTGCCCACTCTGGTGGGCAGGGCTATGTGGGTGAGCCCTGATGGCTAGCCTTTCTTTTCCTGGCTCCTATGAGCCCCCTGGGGCCTCAATTCCTGCTCAGAAGAGCAGCAGGGTAGAGGGCCTCCCCAGCCAAGGGGCCAGGTCCAGCCTCCAGAGAGTAGCTGCTCACTGGCTTGGAGGCATGGGGGCAGTCCCCACTGTCACACTCCCCCCCAACTTACAGGAAGGAAAGCAGGGAGACCCAGAGCTGTGCCCCTTGAGGGTCCCCTATCCTTCAGCTTAGCCAGCCTATGTCAGGGCTAGCAGGGGACAAGTAAGTTACAGAGGGGGAGATTCTGGGGATCCCCTTGCTCATCTATCCAGACTGACACACCCCTTCCCCCCCACCCCACCCACCTCAGCCTCCCCTCCCTGCACCATCAGGCCCTTGGATAAGCCAGCATGGGTTCTTCTTTTTTCTTTTTAAGACAGCTCTAGCTGGCTTTGAACCCTCTTATATAAACCAAGCTGACCTCAAACTCACTGTAATCCTCCTGCCTCTGTCTTCCAATTGCTGAGATTATACGCAAGGGTCATCACACTCAGCTCCAGCAAACTGGAGTTTTGTTTTTAGCTTTTTTTCAGTTTTAATTTAGCACACTCCTGAATACATATGTATGTGCATTTTGTGGTGCAGTACCCCAGAAGGCCAGAAGAGGGAGTCAGATCCTGTGAAGCTGGGGTTAGGGGTGGTTATGAGATGCTTGACAGGTGCTGTGGACTAGACCCTGGTCTTCATGATTGAGCAGCAATGCTTTAGGGCTCTAGGGTGGTTTTTATTATCCCCTAAAGGTAGGTAATAACATGTGGTTATTATTGTCAAATAGCATGTATTAAGTACCTGCTGTGAGCCTGGCCCTGTGCTGAGTCAACTCAAACTATGCCCCAGTCCTTGCCTCAGTCCCAAAATGAGTTCCTGAATCTGCATGGGAGAAGGTGAGGTTCATGGGGACAGGTGACCAGCAGAGGCAGAGTTGGGGTTTGGATCTGATGTGAGCATGTGATCAAATCTTAGCCCTGCCACCTCAGCCACGTCAGGGCCTCGGGTGCATTGCAGATGTACATGTTTTAGGGCCTTCGGGGGACGGTCACCTTCTTCAGAGCCACCTCTCACCCTGGCACCAGGCTTCTGGCTCTGTGTCACCTGGCTCGAGGACTGATATTTTTTTGGAACTGTAGCCAGACCCTGCATTGTCCCCCAGGGACTAGAGTCTGCCTGGGTTGGAGCCCAGCCCTAGTAATTGATTGACCTTTGATTGATGTAGGCTGCGGTTTGGGGCCTGGCCTGGCCCAGCCTGAAGCTGCCAGAGACCAGGGAATCCACAGCCTGACTTGACATCCAAGTTTAGATATCGTGTGTACTTCCTTTAGACTGAGTTGTTCTGACTTTGAGAGAAGCATAGACCTTTGAATGTAGGTCCAGCTGGGGACCCAGAAAAACAACGGACATGTGGCTCCCAAGCTGGAGTCTGAATCCCAAGCTAGTGTCCTCCCCAATGATCTCCCTTCCCAATCCTGACCCTGCACGATCACTGAATCCCACAGTGATAGCTACTCCTCGTGGGGACTCCTTGCTGTGGGTTTAGCATCTGTGAGCCCTGGCAGGTCTCCCAGGAACCAAGAGGCACCATGGCATCTGGGTTTCTCAATTACGGTCCAGTGACATTAGGACCCCTGATGTTTAATTTTGATTATCAACTTGACACCATTAGAATCCCCTGGAAGCAGACCTCAATGAGGGTTGTCTGTATCAGCAACCTATGGGCGTGTCTGTAGGGACTGAGTTATGCTAACTGATGTGGGAAGACCAAGTGTAGGAGTGGGCAGCGCCATTCTGTGGGTTTGGGTTTTTAATTACGTAACAGCATTATTCTAGCTTCCTTCCTGTACTGTGATAAAGCACTTGAACCAAAAAGCAATTTGGGGAGAAGAAGGTTTATTTTGGCCCACACCTCGATATCACAGACCATCGCTGGGAGAAGGCAGGGCAGGAACTCAAGTAGGAACTTGAAGCAGACACCAGAGAGGAATGTTGCTTCCCCCAGCTCGTGCTCAGCTAGCTTCTCTATACAGCCCAGGACCACCAGCCTAGGGAATGGCGCCGCCCACAGTGAGCCGGGCCCTCCTACATCAATTAACCCTCAAGGTAACCCTCTACAGATAGACCTGCAGGCCAGTCTGATCTCGGCAAACCCTTAATTGAGGTTCCCTTCTCAGATGACTCTAGACCATGTCAAGTTGACAACCAGAGCTAACTAGGACAAGTTAGGAAGTGAACGGAGAGAGCAGAGAGCGTTCATTCACTCTGCAGTCTGATCTCGGCAAACCCTTAATTGAGGTTCCCTTCTCAGATGACTCTAGACCATGTCAAGTTGACAATCAGAGCTAACTAGGACAAGTTAGGAAGTGAACGGAGAGAGCAGAGAGCATTCATTCACTCTGCCGTGGTGGGTGTGATGTGACCAGTTGCTTCAGGCCCCTGCCTGGACTTCCCCAGCCATCATGACTGTAGCCTGGAACTGGGAGTAAAAAGAACCCTTTGTCTCCAAGCTGCCTTTTGTCGGGGTTTTTTAGCAGTCTCGGGAACGAGACTAAGACGGGACCGGACCATTCTCCTTGTAGGGGACTGTCCTGGATGCTGTAGGCATTGCTCTGGGCACCATGATTCCCAGTTAAGACAACTGAGAATGGGTCCATATGTCACCAGATGTCCCTTAAAGGACACACACATTCTGCGCTGTGCTGAGGGGGAGCCCAGGCAGTCTGACGTCAGAACTGTGGCGTGCCATCCCTGACCTTCACTGGAATCCAAGTTCAGGGAGTAGGGTACTTTGCGGTGCTCAGGGGCACAGAGGAGAGGCATCCTGTGTCTTGCCTTGGGAAAAGCAAGCCCCTCACCAGGCACTCCGGTCGTCAAAGACACGCAGCAGGTGGCAGCCCTCCGCCATCTGCAGACACTGGAGTTTCAGGAGGGGTTGCCCAGTTACCTCGCAGGCCCTTCCTGCTATATAGATGACAGCCCTTGTGTCTCTCACTGACATCCCGCTTGCCCCCACCCCAGCCCGCTCGCTCTATAGGGAACCCACGGCCCCAAGTCCCATGCTCGCTGCACTTCGTGTTTTCCAAGGCCTGACTCACTCAGGCAGGAACTATTTATACCCCTCACACGGATGCTTGTCTTGGCGCTCCCGGCAGACGCTGTTCTGCAGGTGGTCACAGGATGCAGCAGGAGACTGGGCACAGACAGATTGGTAAGGGCATCAGCCTCACAGACCCGGGATATTAGTCTAGCTCCCTCCTTACTGCTGTGTGACCTTGGGTAGATCAATTAGCTTCTCTGAGCCTCTGGTTATGAAGAACGTTAAATCAAAGTAAATAATAAAGCTCCCATGCAAAGACGGTTTTCAGTTCCTATGGGCTGTTAGACTGTAGAGGGGCAAAGGGGAACCCGCAGATAAACAGGAACGCTCCGAGTGTAATTTATGTCAGAACTGTTGTCACCTGTCCATCTGGAGGTCTCGGGTACCAGAAAAGCCCCTCGTGTCATCCTGAGGTCACTCTCCCAGGCTTCTGTCCCAGGAGACAAATCACCCTGACAAGGAGACCTGATAGACCCGCAAGCATAGTCATTGCTTCAGCTGTGGGCAGCACCTTACCAGCTAGGAAATGGGCTGGAGGCCACCTCTGGCCACTCAATAGCACAGGGAGTGTGACCACAGGTAAGGGGCATTCAGGCCCTATTCTCACCAATCCCTGTCTCCACCAGGCTGCTGGTGGCAGAGGAAAGAAGGGAGGGGCAGAGACGGGCCTCGTTATCAGTTGGTTCTGTGCCAGGCTGCCCAGCACCCCCGCCACTCCCTGCAGGCTCCCAGAACAGCCTGTTCCTGGACACGCCCAGGTCCACTGTCCGGCGGTGACCATGGCCTTGCCTCTGCCTCCCTCCCAGACACAAGACTCCAGGAAGGCTGCTAAGACTCTTGGCTCTGAATTCATTCCTGAGTCACTTAGTCAACAGACTAAGCACCTAGTAGGTGCTTTTTACCTCCCCTCCTGGAAGCTAGCATGAGCTGGGGCAGGAAGTCCCCATGTGGAGGGTGCTGTGTGAAAGAAACCGCTGGTCCCATGTGAAGGGGTGTGGCTTGGTGGGGGACTGTGCACCACAGTGCCACAGATAAATAGTTGGGCACGACAGTGCGCCTGCAGTCACAGCACGTGGGAGCGCCTGCAGTCACAGCATGTGGGAGGCAGAGGGAGGAGGGTTGCTACAAGTGCGGGGGCAGCCTGGGCTATGCAGTGACTTCCAGGACAACCGGGGCTGCATAGTAAGACTAAAGCAATTACATAAGAGACCACCTTCCATGTGTATGCTAACCTCTGGCCACTGGGGTTTTGCCTCTCCTCCTGGTGCTCGGGCGCGCGCACACGCACACACGCACACACGCGCGCACACACACGCACACACACACACAGAGGAGACAGTTGGCAGTGTTTGGGAAACATTTGGCTGTCACAGTCCAGGAGGGCTACTTCTGTGAACACCCCACAGTGCCCAGGGTAGCCCCCAGAGTGGAGATCGTCTCAGCCCCAGATCTCAAGGACCTACACCGTTTAACTAGAGCCACAGATCCAGCCATGGTGAGACTGAGACACCCCTCAAGTGCCTGTAGCTGGATCCACAGGCATGATGGGAGTTCTTTCTGCTTGTTCACACCACACTCGGGACAGGAGGCTGCGGCTTCCTCCCTCGAGCCTCGAGGATCATTTAAGACGCAGGATGCCGCCTGCCCGTGTGGTGGGGTCGCTTGATCACTTCCTGTATCCCAGGCTTGTGTCCTCTCTACGTAATCACACAGGAGGCACATCAGGGTATCCTTAAGCCTCTCTGCACCCACAGGTATGATGCCGGCAGGGATGGCTTCATCGACCTCATGGAACTCAAACTCATGATGGAGAAGCTGGGGGCCCCTCAGACTCACCTGGGCCTGAAGAACATGATCAATGAGGTGGATGAGGACTTTGACAGTAAACTCAGCTTCCGGGAGGTGAGTACCTCCCCAGGCTGCTCCCCAGCCGGCCACACCTGCGCTCTGGGTGGCCTTTGCTACTGAGTGGCATTGTCATTGGCCCAGCAGTTGTGAATGACTGATAGTTGTGTGAGGCTTGCCAGGTGTTCTTGGCAGGTGACCTCCTGCCTCAGCCTCCTAAGTGCTGGGATGATAGGGGTAGGCCACCACAACCAGCTGTGTTTAGTGATTTCCCTATGCCCAAGTGAGTTGTGGGAAAGTCTGTGTGGGACGGGGCCTGGGGTTTAGAAGGAAGGGAAGGCGCCTGAGAGCAGATTTACACAGTGCTTGGCTCAGAGGCAGGCGGGTGATGCGCACTGCCGAGAGACAGGGCACGATGTGAGGTAGCTTCCTACTCCCTGAGGCAGAGGCCACGGGCCAGCTTGTTTAGGGACTGGCAGGAGGGATGGAGGCCCCAAGCTGACAGCCGTGGTTCTAGGCCCTGAACAGCATGGGGTTGCCTGTGTGGAGAGGTGGGTGCAGGGGGAGTCCTGGCCCTTACAGAGCCCACAGGAAGTAGGGGCGAGAGGCAGTATCGAGGGCATCATTGGGAGATGACAAGAGGCCTGGGAAGGATGTCAAGGCTTGGGGTCAGAGAGCACCTATTCCCATCCTCCCGGTACTTAAACCTCTGCCATCTCCAAAGCATCTTCATACTGTAGAACGGGAGTGAGGTCCCTCCGGGGCTTTGTGAGTGGGCTGCAGTACAGATCTGTGTGGGAGGACAGGGGGCGGCAAGGGGACAGGCAGACTGAAGCTGTGGGTGGGGGCTGGGTGTGGTCCTTAGGCCGGGGTCCTGGCAGGGCACACCAGGAAGACAGGGGCTGAAGCGTGGCTCTAGCTCCCGTTCCTGCAGGTGAACACACAGCCTTTCTTCAGAGAGACCCAGCTGAGGCTTGGGTGTGGCCAGGGACTCTGTTCCAGCTGCGCCTTGCTGACCTGTGTATTCCCTTCACAGTTCCTACTGATCTTCCGCAAGGCAGCGGCAGGGGAGTTGCAGGAAGACAGCGGCTTGCACGTCCTGGCCCGCCTCTCTGAGATCGATGTCTCCACAGAGGGGGTTAAGGGTGCCAAGAACTTCTTTGAGGCCAAGGTGAGGAGCCAGGGACTGTACATGGTCCAGCCATGTGGTGACACGGCTTGGATTGAGGGCTGGCGCGGTCCCTCCCTGCCCCTGTTCAGGCTGCACAAGAGAGGTAGAGCCGACTCTTTGTGGGGTGTGCTGGGTGATGAGGCTCTTAAAGAGGCAGCCAGCCAGCATTGCTCCCTGGAGACCCCTCCTACCCTGGGGGAAGCCGAGGGGCTCTCAGACCTCATACATCGGTAAGTACAGCCTCCTCTCCTTCAATGCAGACATAGATGGGGAGGGCAACACGTTTGGTCCAGTGACTCCTGAGTCCTGCCCACCCAGCACTCCTTACCTTTCCTTATTCCTTTTTTCCAAACTAAGACCTTTGCTTCCCAAGGCTGTCCCCGTCCCCTCTCTCTTCCAACCTTGATAGAGATATCAGGGTTCATTAGTGGACCTGTATAGACATCAAGGGTGTGACTCCTGCCTGCAGAGCCGGGCACTGCTCCTGCCGATGAATATTCTCTGTGTGGCTCTGGCTCTCACTCTCCTCTCTCTTTCTCTGTCTCTGAGAGAGATGGTCTCCTATAATCCAGGTTGGATCCCTGCCTCCTGATCCCCCTGCCTCTGTCTCCCCTGTGTGGGAGGATCACAAGCGTTCAGCACCGTGCTCCATTTTTTGAAGTACAGTTCAAACTCAGGACGCCATGCATGCTGGACGAGCACCTTAGCAGCTGACCCTGCCCGGCGCGTTATTTTCATCTTCCCGCGCGAGCCCCCGTGGTCGGTTACTGTGTGCCCGGTTCTGTAGACAGAGGGGAGACTGAGGCCACACCCTGACCTGTCACCCTCGCCCCCAGGTCCAGGCCATCAACGTGTCCAGCCGATTTGAGGAGGAGATCAAAGCTGAGCAAGAGGAAAGGAAGAAGCAGGCTGAGGAGGTGAAGCAGCGGAAGGCAGCCTTTAAGGAACTGCAGTCTACCTTCAAGTAGCCAGGGCCAAGGCCGAGACCCAGCCTTGCCCAGTGTGCAGTCTGGGGGCACGGGTGGGTACAGGAGACCTGTGGGAGACAAACTGAGTCCTGGCCGATGTGTGCCAGGACCACTACTGAAATCTAAACTGTCTATGAACGGATCTCATGCAAGAGTCTCTCCAGTAGTTGGGCCGGTCCCTGCTCCCTCCCGCTGTCCCTGAGGCTGTGACACCAGCATCCTCTCGCTGGCCACCCTGCTGCCTGCTCTAGCCCAACGCCAGCCCATTCACCACGCCCCTGCCTTGTGTACCAGCTACTTTCTCTACCCAACTACCCCTAACCGTGGGCCACCCTACCACCCTGCCCTGGGCCTCATGGCCCCTTCCTAGATAGGAACCAGCAGAGAGAGAGAGAGTCTCCTCCCCACAACTTCCTTTCAGATCAGTCCCCTCTCTGCTGGGTGTGGAAGGACTCCTGTTTTGGTGAAGAGACCCAGCCCTTAACACTCTAGGCTGATATAAATGGGATTAGAAGTGGAGGGGGGACTACTATTTTGGTGAGGAGACCCAGGCCCTAGCACTCTAGGCTGATATAAATGGGGCCCAGCCAGGCAGGGTGAAGGCCACTGAATCTACCTCACAGGCTACACTCTGCTGGGCATGCCATGGGGACGTGAGTGATAGGGCTCCGTGGGGAGGGGCAGACATGTCACTTCCTGACACCCTACCCCCAGAACAAGCTGAGGGTCCCAAGGGACAGTGGAGAGGGGGTGGGGTGCCTTGCTCCCCGGGGAGTGCCTCGTGTGTTTGTGTGTATTGCAGTAGGACACGGGGCCACCAGCCCCTCCTTCCTCGCTGTCCTCCCCTGGGTTTGTCGCCAGTGAGAGCACCTGCCTGCCATGCCCACCCCTAGAACGCATGGGGGTCCCCAAACCCACCCGTCACCAGCCAGGCCATAGTGAAGCCCGTGCCATTGCTCCGCAGCCCCCATGTGCTTGCTCAAGTGTGTGTGTGTGTCTGTGGCTGTGTTGTGAACCTGTGCCGTCACCCGGTCCAAGTGAATGGCCACCGAGGCCGCTGTCATTCAACGTTCGGTGTGTCACTGCTTTTGAAACTCGATAACTCTTTATTTTACTACAGTGCCCTGAGTCCCCAGTTGCCCCCCCCCGTGGGACTTGCAAAGGTTTTATTTTTTTGGTCTTAGAACCCATACGAGTTGGAGGGACCCAGCCCAGCCCAGCCCAGCAGCTGTGGTCCTGGCTTGTGTTTGCCTTAGTGAATGTTTATACAGATGAATATAAATTCCCTTTACTTTTGGCCTTTTGCATTTTATTTTTTTGTCCTCCCTCTCACCACCTCCTCCCCTCCAAAAAAGAAAACAGCTACTTCTTCATTCAGTGGTACGATTATTTTTTTTAACTAAAATGAGATAAAATTCTATATTCTTATGTGTGTGTGGTTTTTGATGGCTAACTGAAGAGGGCAGGGAATGTGACAAGGGTAAGGTCACTGGATTTGGGCAGTCCCGTCAGGAGCCTGGAGAGGAGGAAAATACTGCTGGTCTAGGCACTACGTATATCAACCTCATCTCACCCTGAAAGGAGCCACTGGAGGGCCACTGTCTCTTAATCCCTTTTTAAGGGTGAGAAAGGGGGCACGGGGTGGGGGGGGGGGGGAGCGCTGGAGAAATCACTGAGCAGTTAAGAGCCAAGTTCAATTCCCAGCAACCATATGGTGGCTCACAACCATCTCTAGTGGGATCCAATGCCCTCTTCTGAAATAAAGTTGTACATGGAGATAGAGCACTCATATACATAAAATAATAAATCTAAAAGGGGGGGAATAGGGAGGCCTGAAGGTCGCCAGCCACACAGACCAATGGGGCAGCAGGATTCTGCCCAAGGTGGCTAGCCCATGCTGTCATCACAGGACCACCAGCCTTGAGATTTCACAGAGGTAGGGCTGTGCCACCTGACCCCAAAATGATGGCCAGAAGCAGATGTGGTGCATACCTGTCATCCCAGCCTTCTAGAGCCTGAGATGAGAGCAGGGAGTGTTTAAGCCTTGTTGGCCTGGGCTGCACTACAAGACCCTGTCTAAAGAAACCATTAAAAAAAAAAAATGCTACAGAGGTTCTGAGTCAGTGAGCCCCCGTGGTACAGATACCCTCTGTCCTCAGTGTCCCTGCAGTGGTGGCACCAGCAGCTGCCTGTGAGGTACCCATGGCATCCCGGTCTCCATCTGCCAGCCATGTGGGTGGAATTGGGGTCCTTCCAGACTTGTAGTTACACAGCCTAAGCAGAGTGGGGGAAGTTTCTGGTTTTTCTGGGTGCTTCTGCCCTCATATGGTCATGAATGGAACTGCAGCATCAGATGTCCCATTACTCTTTTCTCTGTCCTGTCTGGTCAAGACAAGGATCTGGGGGTGTATATCCTGGGGTACACCACTCCCTGCATGCTACCCAATGCTGGACAAACCACCAGCACTAACAACATTTTAGGCTATGTGTCTCCTTTCAGTACCCCTTTGCAGGGATCCCTCCAAGCGTCGCAGCCAGCCGGGAAACAAACCCGGTGATAATAAAAATGAAACTTGCGACCCTCAGACTCCAAGACCAATAAACAGGCTGACTCTCATCTGCCAGAGACTCAGCTGTTGGGGACCTCAACCTTAGCCTTCCCCAGGACCCTCCTTCTCACTAAACCTCTTTACCAGATCCCAGCCACTCAAATCTCCATTGCTTTCCCAGATCTTCCACTGGACTTGGGTTTGTTTTTTAAGACACAGGGTCTCACCATGTGGCCCTGGATGGCGTGGAAAGCTCTGTGTAGACCAGGCTGGCCTCAAACTCTGGGATCTGCCTGCCTCTGTCTCCTGAGTGCTGAGATTAAAAGTGTGTGACACCACATCCCACACCCCCACTGAACTTACCACTCCGCCTCGCTGATCTCAAGCTCTTCAGTGAACCCCCAAACTCTCTCTGAAGCCACAGTTCTTCCCTGTGGTATTTGAGGCAAAACCTCACCAGCCCTTCAACCTCTGCTGCTTAGGGAACCTCATCCAAGAGGCAGCAGCTGCCACCAGTGTGGTGGAGGAAGGCAGGGAACCCTGTCACTAGCACCTGTCCTGTTCTCAGACTCTCTCCGCCTCTTCCCCCACGACCTTCTCTAGAGGCCACAGGGCATCGTCAGGCCACACCCCAACACGCCCACGCATCTTTAGTGGTTACTTTTCCATTGCAGCCTCCCGCCCTGAGACCCTGAGGGTCACACTGCGGGCGGACAGACCAGCCCTGGAAATCAGGGATGGGGTGGGAAGCAGTGGAGGGCTGTGACATTCCCAGCACCCCCTCCATGCTCCGGTTCCTTCTGAACCTTGAATGAGTGGAGAAGAAACCTCACCTGCATCCCATCCACGAAGCTCCCACCTAGGATGGAACTCCTTTCATCTACAGAATCCCAGCTTGGGCTCTCTCCTCCAGGGGACACGTCCGCCCTGGCTGACAGGGCGCCCCCTGCTGTACACAGGGCATACGTATAGCCGGTGCTTAATAAATCTCAGGGTCATGAATGAATCCTTTATGTGTTTCATGCATATAGCACGCCAAATAAAACACCCATCCAGAAGCAGACAAGTCAGTACAGGGCCGAGCCCTGTCCCACAGCCACAGGAAAGCCACCAAGCCCCTTAGGACAGTTTTGGCAGTCTGTCAGCCTACCCAGTATCACGGCGTGAGCCAAGGCTAATGACGTCCTCTGCCCAGCTACTCCCTGCACCAGAGCCAAAGTGGCTCCTGCCCGCCCCAGCAGCTGCTCTGGAGAAATGGTTGCTCATAGGCACACTAAAGACATCCAAGGGCAGAGCCAAGGCCCTTGAGAGGCCCAAGAGAACGCTTTCTATTTCTTTAAACTCAACAGGAAACGGAGCTGGAGACATGGCTCAGGGGCTAAAAGCATTTGAGCTTTTGCAGAGGACCCAGGTTTGGCTCCCAGCACCCCCACAGCAGTTCAGAAACACCTGTAACTCCAGTTCCAGGAGATCTGATGCCCTCTCCTGGCCTCCTCTGCACCAGGCACACACATGTTGTAAAATATACATGTAGACAAACATTCATACGATATAATCATCTTTACATTTAAAATAATAATATACTAATTACTAATAATGGTAATAGAATCTGCAGAAAATATACAAATCGAGTTACAGTCATCTACAAAGGACGACAGCCTTGGACTTTAGATCAGTATTCTGATGGAAGACAAGAGAGGCCCTGTGAATTCACTCCACCTTGGAAACCCCGTACTTCTAGTCAACCACATCTCCTGCCCAAATTAAACAGTAATTACCAAGGTCAGGAAAAGGCCTTGTCAGAACAGGTTTGTCCCCAGACTGAGCTCAGCCTTGAACCCTGTGCCCTCACCCCACCCCCCTCACCCCCATGCCTATAAATATGCCCAGCCTGCCTCCACACCAGCCAGTCCTGAGCGCCTGACCATGTTGGGAATTACAGTCCTCGCTGCCACTGTCATAGTGGCCTGCGGTAAGCTCGGGAGTGGGGTACAAGCTACATCCAGCAGGCTGTAAGATCAAGCTGGCCTTGGGGTGTCCTCTGCTCCCCAAGAAAGGCACTTTGGGGTCCTGTGTGGGTTCAGCTACTGAGCAGCTCTGCATCAGTTAAGCCACTTCCAAACTGGTAGGTCCTGGAGAAGGGATGAAGAGCGCCCTCTAGGGAGTGAGGCTTAGACAGGGGGCCCACAGTAGGTGCTTCAAGCTGCTGCGTTCACTCCAGGGGCCACCGGACCTGCGTCTCCCAGCTGTGTCTCCCTCCTGAGGGCTCCTCTCCCATTTTGGTGGCATTCTCCCAGATTATAAACTGAGGGGTTCAACTGGGTTTGGTTTGGTTTGGCAAATGAGAACACCTGATCAGGAATAGAGCTGGGCTCTGGAGATGCAGGAGCAAACTGGACCGTATGCAAGTATTAGGTTTGTCCATCTCTCTCCATCCAACAGTGGGGACACAGAGGTCCAGTGATGCTCAGTACCCTGCCTCAGGGTCACATGCTGCCTAACAGCCAGCCCATCCGCCTCACCTCAGAGCACACACTCCTAACCACTCTGCAGGACTTCCTAGACATGACAGCATGGAACTCTGTGTAGTCCATGATGAGTGCTCCCCTGTACGCACACTGTACTGTGACCACAAAAGGGCATCTTCAGTCCCTCATGAGTGCCAGTCACCTGCCTGTTCCTTTCACTATATGAAGCATCCTTCCTCCTTCTGTGTGGCTTTTCAAATGTGTCACGTGACTCGTTCTTCCCACCTCTCTGTCTCTGTCTCTGTCTGTCTCTCTCTCTCTCCCTCACACACACACACACACACTCACACTTGTCGGGAGACGACTCTTCTGAGTCATCAAGCAGAATATGAACCACCAAGTCCGAGCTTCCCTTCCCTGGGGGTGGGGGGCCAGGGGGCAGCCCGCTCACCTGCACACCCCTCTCTCCCCAGCCTCCAGCTGTGGAGATCCCACCTTCCCACCTAACCTGGCAACCAGGGTGGTAGGGGGAGAGGATGCCATCCCCCACAGCTGGCCTTGGCAGGTAAGTGCTTTGCGAAGCAGATGCAGAGGTCGGAGAGCCGGGGCTGGGGAATCGCTGGAGGGCTAACATGTGGCCCTTTTACAGATCTCTCTTCAGTACCTCAGGGATGGCACATGGAGGCACACCTGTGGGGGCACTCTGATCACCAACAAGCACGTCCTCACCGCTGCCCACTGCATCAAGTGAGCGGGAATGGCACCGGGAAACCTGAGCAGCTAACGCTTCGGGCTCTGGGCTCTGATAGCTACTTTTCCTCTGCTAACCAGTTGTTCACTGACTCGGTTGAAAACATTTCTTGTGCACCTGCTACGTGTCCAGAAACAGCAGAGGAGACAAAAGCCAGCCTCTGGGGCTATTTTGTTGGAATGTTCTATTCCACTATTCTGGTGGAAGGTAGAGCAATAGATGAACAAGTCAATGTGTAACAAACAAAAATGAGGCTGGAAGAGGGGAATGATACAATGTGGTTCCGGCTCAGTTTAAAAGAAGATAGCCCAGAACTGGGAGGGGAGGGGAGGGGAGGGGAGGGGAGGGGAGGGGAGGGGAGGGGAGGGAGGGAGGGAGTTAAAAGAGTAAACTAAGGGAGCTGGGTTGTAGTTTTAGTTGGAGGAGTTAATTCTTAGCCTGCACAAAGCTGTGGGTTGACTCCCCAGTGTTGCAGGTTGGATGGTACCTGTGCTCCCATCACTCACTCCCAGATGGGATGATACCTGTGCTCCCATCACTCACTCCCACAGATGGGATGGTACCCATGCTCCCATCACTCACTCCCAGATGGGATGGTACCCATGCTCCCATCACTCACTCCCAGATGGGATGGTACCTGTGCTCCCATCAGTTGAGAGGTGGAGGAAGGAAGATCCTAGGCTGAAGGCTATCCTTGGCTAGGATATCCTTGCATTCGAGGCAAACCTGGGATAAAAAGAAGAAAGAAGGAAAAGGAGTGGGCAGTGAGGGAAGGAGGAAAGGAAAGAGGAAAAAGGGAGAAGAGATCTAGGACGATCTCTCTGAAAAGGGCAAAGACACAAAAGAAGTGGGGGGGTCTGTGGGATTCCAGGAACAGCCAGTGTAAAGGAGGCACCTCTTTGATGCTTGGGAGACACTGGGGCAGCCTCCTACTGGGAGCAGACTGTGAGGATGGGGTGTGAGGGCTGGGGGGGGTGTGTGCATGCTAGGACTACAGTTTGACTGGAGAGAAGTAACGTCGTGGGAAGGGCTTCCGGTGCAGTTAACACCTGTTTTAGGGGATGCTGAACAGTGGGGGAGCCAGGTGTGGTGTCTCTTGCCTGCCCTCCTAGGACAGGAGGGACTTGTCATAGGGAGGACAGAGCCAAGCAGGAGTCACTCCTGTGGCTACTGCTATGTGGAAGCCAGAGGCAATGGTAGTTTGGCTTCTCCTAGCCTGCCAGTTTAGGGCAGCAAGGCCATACCTTACCCGAGTCCCTGGCTCTAAGCTGTAGTCCTTTCTCCTATCTCCAGGGTCGACTGGAACAGATGCTCCTTTCTCACAGAGCCCTACTGTAGAGAGAGGACTGGGTCACCGATGCTCTTTGCTTCTGGTTGGCCCTGCCAGAGCCCACTTGACATCTCTCTTTCCCCCTCATAGCAAAACCTTAACTTACCGAGTGGCTCTGGGGAAGTCCAATTTGACGGTGGAGAATGAGGAAGGCTCCGTGTACTCGGGGGTGGACACCATCTACGTCCACGAGAAGTGGAATGCCCTCTTCGTGTGGTGAGTGCCAGCCCTGGGGCAGCACGGGAGGGTCCCCAAGGTGGAGCCTCAGAGTCTGACCCCTGTACTTGGCGGCATGCCCAACCCACAGGGCCACAAGATGACACCCATTCAGTCCCTCACATTGATCAAAGATTAGGGTTAAGTGCACATGGGCTCTCTAGCTCCAAGACCCCCACCAAACTCTTTTAGAATTCAGACAGTCAGAGGCTGAGCCAGGTGTCACCTGTCCTGAGTGCTGAGCACATGCCCAGATTGCAGCAGGCATGTGAGATGCTGTCCTTCATCTAAACCTCAACATCCTAGACAAGGAACTAAAGCTCAAAGAGGTTAAGAAATATACCCCAGGGGAGGGAGAGGGAACTGGAATTGACATGCAAAACAAGCTTGTTTTCTAATTTAAATTTAAAAGAGAAGAAAAAAGAAAGACATATAGGCCATGTGGAGTGTTGTGGCACAAGCCTTTGATCCCAATGCTCAGGAGGCAGAGGCAGACAGAGAGGAAGGTGGGTCTCTATGAGTTCATGGCCAGCAGTTCCAAGACAGCCAGAGCTATGTGGAGAGACCCTGTCTCAAAAAAGAAAAAAAAAATCAAAACCCCAAACCAGTCAGGTGGTGGTGGCAGCACATGTCTTTAATCTTTAATCCCAGACTCAGGAAGTGGAGGTGAATCTCTGAGTTCAAGGCCAGCCCGGTCTACAGAGCAGGTTCAAAGACAGCCAGGGCTACACAGAGAAACCCTGTCTCAAAAAAAAAAGAAAAAAAAAAGGAAGGGAGGGAGGGAGGTAAAGGAAGGAAAAAAGAAAGAAAGATGTCCCAAGTCATTCATATATACATATACATACATACATACATATATATATATATATATATCCCAGTGCATGTCTGCCAGGGTCACCAATCTTTCCTGTGGCAATAGAGACTTTAAATGACCCTGAACATGCCTTTGTCATCACTTTGGACTTGTTACAGCTCCCTTTCCAAGGGGGCCAAGACCTACAGTGGTTCTGAACATTTCCATTCTGTTAAACTGTCCTGAACTGACACACGAGGAAGATGCCACATCTAAGGGACGAGTGTACCTACTAGAAAGGTCACTTAGGACTGAGAAGGTGGCTGCATGGCTCAGAGCATCTGCTGTGTGTCTTAGTCTGGGTTTCTGTTGCTGTGATAAATACCACGGAAAAAAAGCAACCTGGGAAAGAAAAGATTTGCTTCATGCTTCCAGGAAACAGTCCATCCCTGAAGAGAGTTGCAGCAAGAGCTCCACCAGGACAGGAGTCCAGACAGGGTTTCTTCTGTGCAGTCCTGGAACTCACTCTGTAGACCAGACTGGCCTCAAACTAAGAAATCTGCCTGCCCCTGCCTCCTGAGTGCTGGGATTAAAGGTGTGCACCACCACATGCCCGGCTTCCAGCCTGCTTTTGTCACCCAGGGCCACGAGCCCAGGGATGGCACCATTGCAGTGAGCTGGTCCCTCCCTTCCACATCAGTCATCAATCAAGAAATATCCTAGAGACCTGCCTACAGGCCAATCCTATGAAAAGCATTTTCTCAATCAAAAACCCCTCTTCCCAGATTAGCTTGTGTCAAACTGACATAAAATTTCACAGCACACTGTGCAAGCCTGAGGACCTGAGTTCAGATCCTGGCACGCACATTAGAAGCAGTGTGTGGCTGGGAGAGAGCTTCTAACCCCAGGTCTGCAGGAGGTGGAGGCACCAGGATTGCCTCACTGGGCAAAGTTGCTTGCTTCCAGGGAATAGGGGGAGAGAGAGAGAGACAGAGAGAGAGAGAGAGAGAGAGAGAGAGAGAGAGAGAGAGAGAGAGAGAGAGAGAGAGAGAGAGCAGGACACCTGACATCCTCCACACATGCATGGGCACACACAGACACGCACACAGCCATTTGCCCTGCAGAGTCACCACTAGCCAATAAGCTGCTACTAGGTGCTCATGGGGGAATCCCTGGGCACCAAAGCCTGACCCCCAGCACCACCTTTACACACTAGCTGAACCGCCACTTTGCATTCCAGGAATGACATTGCCATCATCAAGCTGGCTGAGCCTGTGGAACTGAGTGACACCATCAAGGTGGGCTGCATCCCAGAGGAAGATGCATTGCTGCCTCAGGACTACCCCTGCTATGTCACCGGCTGGGGTCGCCTCTGGAGTGAGTACAGCCTTTACCAGGACATCCCCGAGGCTTCCTGTAGGAGGCGCCACTCAAGATCAGCATGTCTCCCACATTCTCCCTCCCGCCTGTCGTTGTCATAGATCTTAAACCTTCATTATAACCACAGCTAATATTTATTTACTCAGCCCTGACCATGGGACGAGCATGTCACAAGTAAGTGCGGTGGGTGACGTGAGGATTAAATAGGCTAGAACTCATCAGGTATTTAAAACAGAAATTGCCTCATTAACTCCAGCAACATAAACTAAAAACAAAAAGCAGGCATGGCCGTGCATGCCTGTGATCCAGAACTTGGAAGGTGGAGGCTGGAACAGGGAGTTTGAGTCCAGCTAGGCTACATGAGAACCTGTGTCAAAAAAAATAAACTAACCAATTAACTAAAACCGTCCCCTTAGGGGTAAGGAGGCTACATCTCATGGCAAACCAATGCCCAAGCAGATGCCAGCTGAACTAGACAGTTAAATGGGCATTAAAGCTTTGCAAGACTTACAGAAAGCACAGGCTAGCCCTTAAGGACATCCTGAGCAAATAAAATCTTCAGATAGGTGCAGCTAAGATGGAGTACTGGCAGGAAATAACTGACAATTCAACCCTCAAGATCCCAGAAGAGGGATCTGCTTCGTATAGAGTGAGTTCAAGACCAGTCTGGACAACTCAGTGAGACCCTGTCTCAAAATAAAAAGTTAAAAGAAGCATGGGGAGTCAGGCTGTGGTGGCACACGCCTTTAATCCCAGCACTCGGGAGGCAGAGGCAGGTGGATCTCTGTGAGTTCGAGGCCAGTCTGGTGTACAGAGTAAGTTCCAGGACAGCCTCCAAACAATACAGAGAAACCCTGTCTTGAAAAACCAAACAAACAAACAAGGAAGAAGCATGGGGATACAACTCAGTGGGAAACTGCTCAAAGCACAGCAAAGCAGGAAGGGAGCAAAGTCAGACTCCAAACTAAACACACATAGTCCCTAACGGACCATCACCCAAAGATTTGCGCCATCCTGATGAAGGGTAGACTCACAGTCCCCACAGCCTTCCATGCACCAGTTTTGCCTTTGCCAGGTCCCGCTCTCCTGCTGGCTGGAGGCCAGAGCTATGGCTGGGGCAAGGGCGCAGGCTGACTCCCTGGCATGACTGCTCTTTCCCCAGCTGGTGGCCCCATTGCCGATGTGCTCCAACAGGGCCTGCAGCCCATAGTGAGTCACGCCACATGCTCCAGGTTGGACTATTGGTTCATCAAGGTCAGGAAGACAATGCTGTGCGCCGGGGGTGATGGCGTCATCTCAGCCTGTAACGTGAGTGCTCTGACCCACACTAGGAGGGGCAGCAGGGAGGCAGCAGAGCAGGGTTGGGATGGAGCAAATCAAAGCCCTCCCTCCAAGAAGCCAAGCCCTGGTGGATCCATCCTGCAGGCCTAGAGGAAAGCTGTCACTCCAGCCCCACCCCTCACTGCTTACCGGGAGAGGCAGGGGGGTGGACATGAGCAGATCAACTTCAAGTCCCAACGGAGCCAGCAATTGGGTGGGCTGCTGAAACGTTCTCTAAAGTGCCCTCCCACCGCAGGGGAGAGGTGGCTCAAAAGGTGAAGGTGACCCGAGTGTGATCCCCAGAACCCACATGGTGGAAGGAGAGGACCAACTCCCACAGCTGTCCCTGATCTCCACACATGCACTGTGACATGTGTGCGCATGTGTACACACGTACACACACACACACACACACACACACACACACAATGAAAATGAGAAAAAATATGGAGCTAGGGCCGGGAAGAGAATTCAGTTGGTAGCGTTTGCCTTGCAAGCACAAAGACCTGAATTCAGTTCCCAGACCTCATGTTGTAAAAATGCCAAGCATGGTGGCTCACCTGAATCCCAGTGCCAGGGACATGGAGACAAGAGAACTCCTGGGTCTCACTGGCCAATGAGCCTAGCCCAAGTGGCCAGCTCCAGGCCAGAGAGAAGAAGTGTACCTGAGGATGACACACAAGGGTGTCCCTGGCTCCACATACATCTGCATGCACAATGGCACACACAGACACACACACATGCACACATACATACATGCACACATGCATGCACACATGCATGCACATACACACATCAAAAAGGAGGCCATAGGAACCACTTCACAGAGCCACTGAGAGAGTAAATGTCTACCAGCGTGCAGTGACTTCCTTCATATTCGACTCCTGAAGGTTCCGATGCGCAAGTCCAGGGAGACGGGGATTCAGAGTATGACCAGAACCACAGAACACCCAGGACAATGGGGGACTGTCCATTCTGACACACATGACCCTCTCCCCACACCACCCTCCCCACTTTCCCAGGCCTCTTCAGGGTCCCCAGGCTCTTTGATCTCTGGGAAGTTCACAGAAGCTTACACACAATGACCTGAACAGTCAGGGAAACTGAGGCAGGGGAGTTGGCTTCATCCCAGATCACAGCAAGCCAAAAACTAGCTGACACCTCGGGACCTCACACAATGAGGCCCAAGTAGCTCCTCCACTTTCTCTGTCATTATCTCCACAGCTAGTCTGAGGTCTAAATAATAGGCATGGAGATCAAGGGCCCAGCTCACATCTCCCACAGCGGCCAAAGCCAGCCTCGGGGGGAGGTTTGGAGCTGAGGCCTGCTGCTCTGATGCAGGGAGACTCAGGTGGCCCACTGAACTGCCAAGCAGAAGATGGCTCCTGGCAGGTGCATGGCATCGTGAGCTTTGGCTCCCCTCAAGGCTGCAACACATTCAAGAAGCCAGTGGTCTTCACCCGTGTGTCTGCCTACAACGAATGGATCAACGAGGTAGGTGTCCCCTGCACCCCTCCCTGTGGCCCCTGAGCCCACTTCCTCATGTAGCCTCTCCTTCACTGGCTCCTTCCTGTATATAGCCACTGGACACAACCCACATTCAAGTTCATTCTTCCACTCACTGAGAAACCCTGGCTGAAGCCCTCTTGAGTAGACCTCGAGTCAGGAATGGGAGGGGAACTCACAGAGGGGGCACCTTGGTAGCCACAAGGTGGCTTAAGGGTGTGGGGACAGAGGCATTCTGGGAAGGAGGCCCCCAATAGGTATAGGATGTGTCCTAAGCCCACATGCACCATGCTCTGAAAAGCTGGGAGACCCTGAGCCTTTGGGTAGAGACCCGGCCTGGCCATGTCACTGCGGGAACCTACCACCCTGAAGAGCCTTGCTCGGCCCCAGAAGGTAGCATGTCCCAGAGTCACTCATCATGGCTTCTGTTCCACCAGAAAATACAGCTGTGAAGAGTCGGTTCCAGAAGCGTTGCAGCCCACCTCCCAACAGCAATAAAGTTCCTTCCACGAACGCCTGGGTACATTCATTTATGTCTTCTGAGGGTTCCTGGGTCTCCGAGCACTGGAAACATACCCTAGGCCAGGCCATGGTGTCACCACTGTATCAGGAGGCAAGCAGGTAGCTCGAGAGACCAGAATTAAGGTCTAGGGGCCTCCAGCTGCAGGTGGAAGCAGCTGGCTTCACAAAGCCAGGCCACACCACAGGAAAGATGCATGCATCTCAGAGACAACCATTAATTCCTAGAGATGAGCGCTCCCTCCCAGCACAACCCCAACAGCAGCTGTTGGCCAGAGGCATCTGATTGCAGAAGTGTTTGATGAATCCTGGCCCTGAGTGGTACAGCAAGAGGAGACCCCAGCCCCACCCACAGGCTTGAGGAAAGCAGTGGTTTCCACAGTCATAGGAAAAGCCTTGACTGCATGAGATTGGGGAGGGGAAACTGAGGCAGAGAGAGAGGAATTGCTGGACTAGGGCCTCAGGAACAGCCAGCAAAACAGGAGTGCTCTCAGGAGGCAGGTGAGACTCAAGACCAGCTTATCTAGGGTCTGGCAAGAGATGGCCCCAGCAAGGCATTCGTCCCCGAAGAGGGACCACTGACCAGGAATGTTCCTGAAAGTGTAGCCGTTTGTCTTAGCTGCAGTTCCTATTTCTTTGATGAAAGACCATGTCCAAAAGCAAGCTGGGGAAGGAAGGGTTCTTGACTTATGTTCATCGTCAGTGGAAAGCAAGACAGGAACTCAGGCAGGGCAGGAACCTGGAGGCAGGAGCTGATGCAGAGGTCATGGAGGGGAGCTGCTTCCTGGCTCGCTCCCCATGGCTTGCTCAGCCTGCTTTCTTACAGAACCCAGGACCAGCAACCCAAGGATGGAACCACCCACAACAGGGTTCTCACATTAGTCACTGACAGTCCGATCTTCTGGAGGCATTTTCTAAATTGAGGCTCCTTCTCTGACTATAACTTGTGTCAAGTTGACATAAAATTAGCCAGTACAACTGACCCCTTGTCAACCTGACACACAAACACATCACTGTGAAGCCACAGCCTTTCCTTTCTTCATCCCCAAGAGCACACATTAATATGAACACCACAATGTAAAACTTTCCAAGTCTTAAAACTCCGTCTTTCCAAATTCAAACACTTTAAAAGCCAGTCTATTTAAATCCAAAGCCTCTTTTAAAACCTAGAATCTCTTTTAAAATTCAGCCTCTCAACAGTGCACTCCTATAAAATCAAAAATAAAGTAAATGCCAATTAGATACATTCTCATTTCAAGAGAGAGAACCAGGGCACAGTCACAATGAAATCAAAGCAAAGCCAAACTCCAGCTGTAAATAACTCAGTACCCAGTGTCTGGGATCCACTCACCATCTTCTGGACTTCTTCTCCAGCTCCGTCCCGCCCCTGCGGCACACTCAGCTCGTTTCTAGGCTCCCCTGGCTCCACTCCACTGCTGCTGCTGTCCTTGGTGGTCCCACGGTACTGGCATCTCCAAAACACTGGGGTTTTTCTGCTGCGACTGGGCTGCGCTTTCACCAATGGCCTCTCCCGTGCTCTCTTCGGGGATTCTAACCTGGGTGACTCTTAGTCTACCAAATTTGGGAGCCGATGTGAGCTACAGCCTTGGCCATGTCTGGAACACAGACATGTGTTCCAGATTTCACCTCAGCAATGCTGGTCTCTCCTTAATCACCACTAATTTCTCAGCTCCAGCTGACAGACATTGAGGTCCCCAGCAGAGCAAAGATTTCACTTTAGTAGCTCTGTATCTGGTTAACCACAGCTGATTCTCCAGCCCCAGCCAGGGGAACCACAGAACCTTTTGTTTTTGTTTTTATTTTTCCTTTTGGTTTTTTAAGACAGGGTTTCACTGTGTAACAGCCCTGGCTGTCCTGAACCTTGCTCTGTAGATCAAGCTGGCCTCGAACTCACAGGTCTGCCTGCCTCTGGACCTACAGAATCTTAAATGGCCCTGAGTCTTTAGGGTTGCTTCTGAAATGTCACAAGCCAGGCCTCCATTGCTGACACCACTCTCAACCTTCCTCAGGCTCCTATAGAACTAAGATCTAAACACTCGAGGCTGTTCTAGCCCAACTTCTACTTCCGCAATCATCCGCAAAAGCCGTGACCCCTTTGGAAGTCACATATTAGATATCCTGCACATCAGATACTTACATTATGATTCACAACAGCAGAAAAGTTAGTTATGAAGTAACAAAAAATAATTTTATGATTGGGATCACTACAACATGAGCAACTGTATTAAAAGGTCACAGCACTAGGAAGATTGAGAACCACTGCCCCACAGGCTTCTCTACAGCCTGATGTTTTGTTTGTTTGTTTGTTTTCTGAGGCAGGGTTTCTTTGTGTAGCCCTGGCTAGCCTGGAACTCTCTCTGTAGATCAGACGGGCCTTGAACTCACAAAGATCCACCTGCCTCTGCTCCCAAGTGCTGGGATTAAAGGAGTGTACCCCCAAACCCAGTCCCTACAACCCAATCTTTTTTTAAAAAATTTTATTTAAATTAGAAACTTGCTTCACATGTCAATCCCAGCTCCCTCTCCCTCCCCTCCTCCCTCGCCCCCCCACCAGCCATCCAAGCTCCCCCACCCAATCCCCACTCTGTTCCCCAGGGAAGGTGAAGCCCTCCATGGGGAATCTCCAGAGTCTGTCATTTCATTCAGAGCAGGGCCTAGGCCCTCCCCCAAAGTCCAGGCTGAGAGAGCATCCCTCATTGTGGGATGGGTACCCAAAGTTCATTTATATACCAGGGATAAATACTGATCTACTACCCAAGGACAAATAGATTGCCTAGGCCTCTTCACTGACACCCACATTCAGGGAGTCTGGATCAGTCCCATGCTGGCCTCTCAGCTATCAGTCTGGGGTCCAAGAGCTCCCCCCTTGGTCAGGTCAGCTGTCTTTGTGGGTTTCACCAGTCCAGTCTTGACCCCTTTGCCGATTACTCCTCCCTCTCTGACACTGGGTTCCAGGAGTTCAGCTCAGTGTTTAGCTGTGGGTGTCTGCGTCTGCTTCCATCAGTCACTGGATGAAAGTTCTAGGATGGCATATAGGGTAGTCCTCAAACTCATCAGGGAAGGGCATTTAAGGTAGCCTCTCCACTATTGCTTAGTTTGTCAGTTGGTGTCATCCTTGTAGATCTCTGGAAATCTCACAGTGCCAGATCTCTCCTCAAACCTATAAAGACACCCTCTATTATGGTATCTCTTGTCCTGCTCTCCTCTATTCTTCCCCTGACTCAACCTTCCTGCTCCCCCATGTCCTCCTCTCCCCTCATCTTCTTCCCCTCTCTTCCCTCCTCCCCTTCCCCATGCTCCCAATCTGCTCAGGAGATCTTGCCTCATTCCCCTTCTCTGGGGTACCATACATATCTCTCTTAGGGTCCTCCCTGTTTCCCAGACTCTCTGGTGGTGGGATTGTAGGCTGACACTCCCCTACCCCATGTCTAAAATCCATATATGAGTGAGTAAATACTGTGTTTGTCTTTTTGTGACTGGGTTACCTCACTCAGGATGGTTTTTCATCTAGTGCCATCCATTTGCCCGCAAATTTCAAAATCCCATTGTTTTTTTCCACTGAGAAGTACTCCACTGTGTAAATGTACCACATTTTCTCTATCCACTCTTCAGCTGAGGGGCATCTAGTACAACCCAATCTTTTTTTTTTTTTAAACAGCAGCTTCTTTTTTTTAAGATTTATTTATTTATTACATATACAGTGTTCTGCTTATATGCCAGAAGAGGACACAGGATTGAATTGTAGATGGTTGTGAGCCACCATGTGGTTGCTGGGAATTGAACTCAGGACCCCTGGAAGACCAGTCAGTGCTCTTAACCTCTGAGCCATCTCTCCAGCCCAGTACAACCCAATCTTAACAGAGGCATTTCCTCGGTTGAGGCTCTCTCCTCTCTACTGACTGTACCTTGTGTCAAGTTGACATAAAACTAGACCGTACACCATCTAGCGGGGCTGCACCACAGCCTCTGGCCTTCCAGGAGCCCCTAGCTGATTAGTCCATCGGCTGTCCTGCTTCTTCCATCAGGCATCAGCTGCTGGAGTCCAGGACTGACCGTGATGGGCCTCCTGTGCCCGGGGACCACTCTCAGGAGTGTCCTTTGTTACTCAGAAAGGGATGCGGTGTGAGGGTCCCCAGGTTCAGAGAAGATACTTGCTGTGCCGTAGACAGAACAGTGTGTGTGAACAAGGGCGTGTGTGTGTGTGTGTGTGTGTGTGTGTGTGTGTGTGTGTGTGTGCAGACCAGGGGAACAGAAATGAGCTACCTTAACCAATGTCTGTTATCAGCAACAGTCCAGGAGGGCTTCCTGGAGGTGGCAATGCCCACGCTGGTTCTTAAAATTGGAGTAGAAGTTTCCTAAGAGTATTTCTGGTTATTTGATCTGTGCTGCATCCCCAGACACCTACTGTTATGCCTGTCTCTAAGTGGTACATGACACATGCTCAACTCTTGCTGCCCAGGTCCCTTGCAGGTAGGAAACTAGAGGAATCAGTTCTGGTCAAGAGAACATAATAATGAAATAATCTAATGGTCAATGAGCTCGGTCCGTGTGGGTTTTACACTTATCTCAACTCCCCAACATAGTCCCGTGAGACTGGCTGTCATGACACATACCCTATTTGACAGATGCAAAAACTAAGGTCAGAAAGATCTAGGATCTCCTAGGATAGCTTAAGTAGAAAGAGGAGAGCTCAGAATCAGGCGTTGCTAACCTGGCCCCAGAGGTCATGGACAGGAACACAAATGTAAGAAGAAGGAAAATCTTTCCTATAAGGGGAACCCAACACATACTGATGTTACACCTTGAATACTGACATGATGGCTGGAGCTGAGGCAGCCATCTTGTGGCCCTGTGGGCTGCAGCGACACCAGCTCAGCCCTTGTTGAACTCACGCTACAGATCTGAGGCCAGCAGTCTTCTCCCCTCTGAATTCCTTTGCTATGTGGAAAAAATAAGAATAAAAAAAATCTGCA